CTTAAATCATCTATTGTAGACTGGGACTAAAACAGGGGCTCGATTCTTCAATTTATTCCAAGGAGAAATGTATGCGAAAATTCTGCCCTTACAGAAAAGCTGCAAGTCGATTGGCTACTCGCGTGGCTTTAACCAATCGACTTGCAGCTTTTCTGTCGGAGCAGAATGTTCGTATATACGTTTCTTCTTCGAATGATTTCGAGAATCGGGCCCCGGTTCTTGCGCGTTACCTCAAGACAATAAAGGCTTAAAACATAAAACATTGCCTTAATTAAGACTGTCTTAAGAATATAAGACAGCCATTCTGCTCAGGCCCTTAGAAATGGCACTCGAGTCTGTAAGTCCCAGTCTACAATAGAGATTTAAGCCCTAAGCCTTAAGAAATTGACTAATCACAGTCGCGCATTCTACTCATACTTGACCGTGATTGGCCAATTTCTTAAAGCTTAGGGCTTAAATCATCTATTGTAGACTGGGACTAAATGGTTAGGCGATTGAGGCCCGGGTTCACAGTGGCTAGTTAGCTTAACCAGTTGTTAAGTAGTGATACCAACCACTGACACAAAATTCGGTAAGCTATTTACAAGGTTATATATATGTAATATATATACACTATATGTTGTATATATACATCAATTTATCAATCACAAATATATCAATATATATGTATATGTTTTTTAAACTTATTTGCGAAAATGCGACTTGTCAAAATCTAACCTTGTAAATAGCTTACCGAATTTTGTATCAGTGGTTGGCATCACTACTTAACAACTAGTTAAGCTAACTAGCCACTGTGAACCCGGGCCTGATACGGCGATGACTTTTTGCTTATCTATCTGTACTTACTCGGATGAGCCGCGAGCAGGATCATCCTTGGGCGTGGAAAGGGCACGAAGGCCTGGGGGTCAAGGCGAGACCAGCATTTCCGTGCTTCGATTACCGACACACTTTGGCCCTAGGTGCGAGTCTGACTAAAGGCAGAGCCGGGACTAGGGTGTGGCGAACGATGTATTACCCAGATAAGAGACGCATACAGATATCTTTAAGACACTTTATAGACGTCTGTACGTGGCTAAAAGACAGCTTAATGCCGTCTTGAAGTATATACATATGTAATTATCTTAAGATACCATGTATAAAGCTCTGACTTTTATTTTCTTAGGAATTACATGGTTACGTTTTAAATGAAATAATATTCCGTAATTTCAACTGGAGTATTGCCACACGCGCGAGGAGACGCGCGAATTAAAATCGGAGCACGCTATACCCGCGGCACGCGAGGATCCGGATGCGATAGACTCACTTTAGTCAAAGTCCGGCCAAGCGGGCCAGTTTCGGCAAAATTGATACGCGCGAGAAAGAAATATATCCGCTCTCGCTCTACATATTTATTATAGGCAAGGGAATATTTTAATCTTACAATTAGACGAAAAATTCGAAAATCTAGAGTCGTCTTTCGTCGAATATCGCGGCGCTAACTTCGTGCGTTGTAGGATGCAGGGAAAATCGATTCTAAACGCAAGAATACGTAAAGTTACTCGTGTCTCAATATATAGTAAGTTAATCTTTTTTAATTCGATACAGGAGAATAAAGCCAACGGCACACGATACTATTTTTCCCATTGGATGCCTTACGAGAGCCAATCAGGATTCAGACTTTGCGTCACCCGATCGAAAACTCTGCATCCTGATTGGCTCCAGCAATCCAGTGGGAAAAATTGTATCGTGTGCCGTTGGCTTAAGAATTATCGACTTCACTTTGATATCGTCTTATTTTTATACTAAATGAGGCTGCGAGACATATAAATGCGTCAAGAATATTTTCGTCTCGGTAACATAAATCCTTTCTGAGGGTGTACTCACCGCGCGATGTAATGCGTGGTCTACAATGCGAGTCGCAGAGTCGTAGTCGTAAGAATAATCGACTGCGATTGGTCAATTTCGTCAGACACATAAGAATTGACCAATCATAGTCGACTATTCTTACGACTACGACTTTACGACTTCTATGTAGACGAGGCTTAACCCCTGGTCCACAATCATGCTGTAAGTAAGCTGTAAGCCTTAAGCCGTAAGAAATTAACCAATCACAGATGAGAGTGAGGGGAATAAATGTCTGTGATTGGTTAATTTTTTACGGCTTAAGGTTTACAGCTCACTTAAAGCAAGATTGTGGACCAGGGGTAAGACGTGCTGCGACGACCATCGTCAGTGCGGGAGATTCGTCCACTGATGTGTGTCCACGGCGCTCCTCAAATGAACAAACACGATGCCGGTTCCCGGCGCTATCGCGCGGTGCTATACGAGTCGAGTTAACGACGCGGTTTAATATCATTTCGACGTGTCTCGCGTAAATTTACCCGGGAACTACGCGCACTAACGAGCGATCGACACCCCCGCGGCTCTCGTCTACGTACGTCGAGGGAAAAGCGAGCGGCAATGCGGCGGTCCACTTTCCGTATCTCGAATTGAGTACACGCTCCGAGAAACAAAGACGACGACGTCCCGCGAATCCCGCGATACCTGCGGAATCGGGAAAACTTGGTCGCGCGCGTTGCTCCGCGGCGTACGTGCCGGCCAGCGCGGCGGCTCGAGCGAGAGTGCGACGACACACGGTACCGTCGTTCTCTGACCTTGCTGCGCAGCGGCCGCGGCGGCTCGAAACAAAGTCCCAAAAAACTGCAAAAAACGAGCGGCGATCCGCGCGTGTCACGGCGACGTCACACGACCGTTTCAACGGAATTTTCCACAGGGCTCTATCGGAAAACGATCTTGTGACTGTCGAGCCGTTGATTCCGCTTCCGTATTTCGCGCCATGGGACGTCGCCCTCAGGCTGCATACCATAGAC